GAAGATGTCTTGAGCTTGCTTGGAGTATATAAGAGAGTCTTTAGACATTGTATATCATTCTTGTCAACGAGAGTTGTATATTACTCTTGCTTTAATGAAAAATGCGGTTTTTTTTTCTGAATCAACTTTGATTTTGTTTCTTTTTTAATTCAAAATATCTCTTTCATTTTTATCTCTACTCCGTAAAAAATTATGTCCGCGACAAAGTCATACGATTTGTTTGACAATTTTTGCGACATAAGCATAAATAAAGAGCCTAAAACATGAAAGTATAATTATCATACTCATTGATCCATTTCAAAATCAAAGATGCAAATGTAATATAGCAATAGTCAATGCTTATTTCTAAGGTACTTTCAATTTTTTGCCATTATACATAGATAATTTTGATTTCAATGTTTTGCTCAAATGCATAGATTTTGATTTGTTTTTTATCTATATCTCTCGTACCTAATAATTATCAAGTTCATAGTACTTGACTATGTTATATCTCGTTCAATATTTTATGTACGTCATATTATTTATAAAAATTTATGGATATAGTTTTTTTTTGTAATATGTATGAAAATTTTCTCCTTGTGACTCAAAAGATAAATGCTAGAAATTTATTGCAACTAGACCTGAAACTTCAAACATAAACTCATAGATCTAGTCCAATTCTCACAAACAAAGGTCTATCAAGCTTCCATCAACATTTTTCATACAAGTGTTTGAAACATATTCTAGGATCTAGAGTAAAAATTTCTAAACCTACATACTTCTTGATTCTTGTCTACACTAACCAAACATTGCTACGTGTGCAATCTTTGAGAAATATTATATGCAGATCTTGAGAGCTTTTAACTTATGTTTATTACATTATTCACAATGCTCTTATGCAATTTTATTTTATTTTTCTTGCGTCTCATATTTCTTTCAATCTCAAATTTCTATTGTATCATAATAAATCACTACGTTACAAAAAATCATATGATTTTTTTCCATGTAGGTTAGAATTTTAGTTCAAAACACGCAAGATCAACTAACAGTCAAATATACAAACATGAGTAGTCACAGTCGTAACGTGGTTAATCCTTCAGACTGCTACATCAACGGGAAAAGCACATGAGAAAGTTTACTACCGTAGTGAAAACCAACAGTTATACAATGCAGAAGTCTTGAGGTATATATATCCAACACAGGCGACCAACCTATTTATAAATAGCTAGAACATGTGATTACTTCTTAACCAAAGTAATCTTGAACATAGAGATGAGAAAGGAATTTCATGTTTTAAGCACATCTTTGAATGTAGTGTTCATCCTACACATGTTTTTGAAAAAAATCTTGATAGTTGTTTGTTACGATTTGACAAAACTCTTAACTAACAAACTTAAAACAATTGTATATCCAAGACCATGCAAAGCAACTCTTCGCGATCTAGAAATCTCTGATGAAATGTATCTGATAGTCTAAAATAAATAGAAACATTAAACAAAATGAGACGTTTAAAATTCTTAAAATCTCTATCATCTACTCAACGCGTCTACAGAAGAAAAATTTTTTTCCAATACCCGTTGCATAATCTCTATTGCACAGGTTAGCAAAAAATGACTATATGGTTTTACTTAGTATCATATACCTTTTTCTCCTTAGATAAAAACTTGAGTTATTGCCAGACTACATGTTATGAAGTATCATCAATATTGTTGTAGATGTGATACATTGATCTTCAACATTTTCAACATATATCACAAAACTTTGATAGTTTCATTTCATTTCCAAAGAAGATTGAACATCTTTTTGACTTGTTTTTTGCTTCTCTTTGAAATTTGATGTCGACAAGAGCTTATATATCTACGCTAAGCTTTTTCTTTGAACACTATATAAGATGGATCTTATTTTTTTAGTTGAGGATGATACAATCATAACTAGGATCAAAATGAAATCATTGGTCTTCACTTTGAATCATCTCATTTAATTACTCACGCAACATGATTTTTTTTTATGGAGTGAAAATCATACCCATGATGAATTTTGTGTATACATTAATTTTTTCAAAATAAGAATCAAAGTTTGCAAGTTCTTTATCTGCATCTTACAAATATTATCTCATAAGTACTTACGTCATGCTCAGCAAGTCAATCACATCCATGATACACTTGAAGCTATCTCAACATATCAATTTTTTCTTTTAGACACTTGTAACTACTTTCAATCCTTTCTAGATACATTTTGCAAAAGCTAAAAAACGCACTAACAATGTCTTTCATGTCTTGCGCAATAAATGTGTGCATCTTGTTGTGATTGTTTTCATTGTCCAAACTCTAATCTCTCACTCTAGTACCAATTGGTGAGATAATCCTTGATAAAACATCGAATGCACAAGCAAACACAAATCCACGAGAAGACACAAAAAACATAGGCACACGGAGATCCAATACAAGCAAACACAAGAACATTTTCACAAAGTACGGGGTTTGCCACTACAGGAATTGTAAATATATTTCTTTCATTAAAACATATCTTTTGATTAATTTTTTAGAATAATATATTTTTATATAAATTAAAATATTTTAAAAGCATTATAAAGAAATAAAAAATTTCAATATATGAGCTTTAATAAATTTCGATAAATTTTTTAATATATATATCCTTGCATATGTACAACCACTTTATTTGAAATGCTAAATTTGTTGATTAATGTTAGATTAACAAATAAAGAATAAATGATTTGAACAAAAAATGGAAACATATGATGTGCACATATGTATCAAGATAATTACTTGATGGGAACTCAACATAGTTGATGAGATCCAACATGTTTCATTTTGCCCAATGGAACTTCAATCGAGGATCATACACCTCACCTTATGTCATGTTCTTATAAAAGTTTTTATAACCTAATAGTTTGCGGTATAATGTGGAAAGTCTACCACTATCGGGCCAAAATATTCTCTTCCATGAGAGTAATCTGGCGACTCATTTGCAGCTTGTCGGGCGCCATGATGATGCTTAAGTACTCCTGATTCGCCGAGATCTTCCACCCAAAATAATCCCTAGATCCTATTGGAACATTGTTGACGATGTGTTAAAGGTTCGTCCAGGGGATACATAAAGACCCTGTTGAATCTCATCGAGTTTGTTTTGTTTCCTTGTAGTCCCATCAAGTAATATTCCCATATGATACCATCAAACATTGATTATCATAGAAAAATACGTAAATATATCTTAATTGTTTCATAATTAATCATTGATATATCTAACTCATGAAGAAGTTTATAATTAATAAATTAATTATGTGATAAAAATCTATCTTTTTATATTAGAATAAGTAATTTTATATTTTTCCATTTGATTACCATCGCATTGTAAATTTGATTTCATAACTCATTGCAGATATTAATGAAAAATATAACATATCTACTTCTTAAAATAAACTTTTAATTAAAGAGTATGGAGAAAAAAAAAACTACGATGAGAAACACACAATTTTCTTGAGAGGGAGTAGAGGGAAAAAAGTACAACAAATCAAGAAAAATCAAACACTTATGGTAATACAAAATTAAATAAAAGAGTTAGTGCACATTCATGGTCAAAATAAAATGCGTATTTTCATGAAATTAAATGGGCAAATTACATTTGATTGTTACAAATTAAAATTGTTACATTTGCTCGAGAGACACCTGCAAAGTGAACATTGAAGTATTTTGACAACTATCAAATGAACCAAAAAAGATGAGTTGGTAGTAAGAGATACACACCGAGAATCACACATTGATCTACGTGGTTATCTCCACATGAAGCAACGTCCATGGCCAAGATAAAAGCTTCAGTAATGCGAGAATGGTACATGAGTACTCCATAGCTCAAAGACCTGAGACTCAGGTCTCTCCATGCAAGTGTACATGTGAGAGTCTAGCAACGGTTTGCAAGTGTACATGTGAGAGTCTAGCAACGGTTAACAAGACGGGGGTTAACTTTACAAAGAAGTGGTTCATTGTATGAAAATGAATACATGTGGTGAAGATGAGCCTTGTGTTAAGTATCTCAAACCTTAACTAGAGGCGGGTTAACGTTTCAGAGAAGTGGTTCATTGTATGAAAAAGAATACATTTAGTGAAAATGATCCTTGTGTTAAATATCTCAAACCTTAACTAGAGGCAAAGGCTAGCAAGACGCGGTTTTACCTTACAAAGGAGTGGTTCATTGTGTGAAGAAGAATACATTTAGTGAAAATGACACATTACTTTTAATTGCAAGTATTTATTGCTACTTGATAAATAAGTTAAATTATTTGTGTTTACGTGAAAATGTATAGTGTTTCACCAAACCTTAAAAAGTATTTGACTGACCATATAAACATACAAATGATACATGTCGACGTTTTAAAATGAAAATATCATGGAATGTGTAACTTATCACATCCTAGTAGGTGAAACCTAAGATCTAAAGAATAAACTGCCAACTACATCGTCCTTTTAAGATTGTCATGAGATTTGGCCTTGACATGATGAGGAACCCGTACCAAGTTCCAGAGTAGATTATTGCTTTAGAACTTGCATCATATCTGTTCAGTGCGTTGCACAATGTGTCCAAGTTGTAACATTTGTAAGACACCCGAGTGTTTCTTTAAAATTTCATTAAAATACACCAAATCTTGACCGCAAGGAGTTGGAACTAGTGTGTTCTCAATAGATGGGGCATAAGATGGAAAACACAAAAATGCATGAACTATTCGACCCATTGACTTCTCAAATCAACGCCTGCATACATGTCAACGCAAATGTGCATGGATTTTGAACAGCGAATTTTGTCGTCTGTATCAACCTAATGTCTGTACAAAATTCACTAACAATGGACTACAAGAGCTTTCAGCCTCATCAGTTCCCTCCGAGGTTATTCGTAGGGCCAAAGGTCAGCTCCAGAGACAAAATGGTGTAAGAATCTACTCCGTACAAACAAAAGCACCGTCTCCAATCGGGACAAGAACAAACAAGCATAAGGTCGGCGATATCGTTGGAAAAGCTTGCAAAATCCAAATTTGGATGGGTGCACAATCACTTTACATCATTTCTACACTTTTGAGTACAGTAGCTCCTGACTATCCATAATTGTTTAAAAGTCTCAGCATGGGCTGTACTTGGAAGAGTCCAGTGGAGGGAAACTGACTCCTAGTTAGTGACCAATTTCTCCTTAATTTTTAGCAGTGTACAATGAAACATTTTGAACTATTACCCTGACTATGGCTTCCAGTTGGTTAGCCAAGTTTGAAGGGCAACAATGGGTTAAAGATGGGCAGAAGCCAGCTGAAACCGGCTCATGTTAGTCAGAACTTTCCGAAATTTGCATGTAACTACCGAATAACTGGGAACAATGATTGTGTTGGTAATCCTAAAATGATTAAACACAAAGCCTACACTAATTATCTCTCTAAGAGTTACTGCCCATTGGATTCGTGTCTGCTCATTGGGGTACTAGGAACATCGTGCAGACGTGCTTCCAAAGCTTTAAGATCGCGACTCTGTCTTTCCTTGAGAACGTTCTGTGCAGCAGACTTCATTATGGAGCTCAGAAAACCTGCCATCATCATCATCACGACTGTGTTCCACGCAGATGAAGCAAGACTCCCTTTCGGAGGTATCTGTATGAAAATCAAGAAATGAGACATCAGCAGAGCCTTGCTAGTCGCCTTGCTCCTGGTGCTTCAACCACTAGAAGATAATCCGACGACAGAAATGCTCATTGCCTATAGATGACAACAGTGTGTAAGTTACCTTCACATCGGAGTGAGTTGACCTTTGAACCTTGGAATCCGCTTTCGCTCTTTCAAAAGTTGACAGGATGTTGGGAGCGAAATGATTAAGAACGGGCAAGCTTTTAACCATCCAAGTAAGCATATCCACAGCAAGCTCCAACACGTAGGGGTTGCAAACCATGATGATGAAAATGGTCTGGACAGTCAATGCACCATGCATGAGTTAGTAAGGTGGCATCCCAATCTTCTGCAGATTTCTCACCACATGACGCATGAGTCCAACTGACATCAACGTGGTCTGATACCAAGTATGAAACCCAGGGGAGTTTGAAAAGGGGAACCTTTTGTTTGCAAGAGATGAAACAACACCAACCTGTCAGCAACCCAATCATAAAGCATTTGCAAATATCAAAATATCACGGTGAAACAACACGCATAACTACTGTACCTGTATGTGGGTTTTGATAATCGCTTTGCCGATAAGCGTTGCGGCGAAAAATTTCCAAAACGGAACTAGAAACTGACCACACAATATTCCTGCAAGATCGAACATTGGATTGGGCACCTGCACCATACGTTTAAGAACCCTTACTCGGTCAATCCACTAAGCTTTACTCAAGTGATGCATTCAATATATTATCATGATCTAGATTGGCAACCAGTTTTCTCCACTAGTATTGAAAAACATCGTAATACACTTGTGTCCACTTAGAGCCGTGCATGAAGACAACTTCGAGGGTTCGACCGTCCACTAAGAATCTATTATGTGTCGCACAAGTACATAAAATTTGACTAAAGAAGATTATACGAAAGTGTGATTACACTTACTGAGGCAAGACACAGAATAGTAAAGAACCCGAAATTTTCGAAATGATTGACCATCCAGAGCTTCAACCTCTGCACCAGCCTTGAAACGAACGATTCGGAGGGGCTTACCAACTGCTCTTCTAGTTCTTTTGGTCTCTCTCCAGACAACCTCGCTACAACCGCAAAACAAGCCATCCGATTTAGAGACTTGAATAAAAAAAATTCATACATCCGTTTGCCTGGAAAACTACTTCAAGAATAGACAGGTACAACACAAAGCTAGAGATATAAGCAAATTAAAGAGCCTGGTTAAAAAAAGGCTATGGCCAGATACAGAACAGGATACACACAAGCAGGAAAGGGAAACAAACAGAATGAAGGGCACCTGCTCTTGACACAAAATAAGGAGGAAGTTCCCCCAATGCTGTGCCAATACCCCACAAAACAGCTTCCATTTGCACCTGCACCAATACACTGTGAAGCGGAACCATATATCTTTCGGAGTGAGAGGGCAGAAGTGGATACTGCGGAGCTCCTATTTCAGAACAATCCTTTAAGGCCCAGCTCGAAGTAAGACCCCACTGAGGTGTATCATATGGAGCACTTTTGAAGTCCACCCTCCCACATTGAGTGGCTCGCATGGTGAACGCAGTGACATGTGGTCCCAAGTAAAGTAAGAAAGTGTGCAGACCAGAACCTGCAAAATCGCAGCAACAAAAGACTTCTATATTCAATAATCGGAACAACCAGCACTTGAAACTACCACTTCAAATTGTCAGAGCCTTCACAAGCAGCTTCTTACAAATACTACTAGCCGATCAGGCTGAAGACGATAACCGCAAAAACGGTACAAGTTTCACGTCAATATTTCAGAGGAACGTGTTTAAGTACCTAGTCCAATCGAGGAAGCCACCCCCAGAGCGACCCACCAGACAACATATCGAGCCCACGCCAATGACTCCTTCACATACTGCTCACAGGACAACACAAAAAAACAAGAGAGCTGAACCACCGGAAACCCCAAACTGGACCAGCATCGTCACTGCGTGTTTATTCGGATTCCAAGGCCGGAACCGGATCAACATAAATCACAGTGTGCGTCTTGCAGCACAGAGTACTACATCCATATATTTGTTTACTTGCTTTGGAAGAATGCTGTCGGACACATGTATAAGGCATACAATGTGCTCTACAGAACAAGACATGTACAAAGATATGATTTCGAAATATGCATCTCCATCAGATCTAGAGGTAAAAACATGTTGAGATCTGCTCGAGGATAACTGGAAGATGCAGTGGATGCTTGGAATTACGACATTCCAGGTTTAGATATGAAAGATTAGGATAAGGAAAATGAGTTCAAGCAAGTGAGATAAGTATTCGAGATTTCCTCATAGTCACTTGTGCCAAATCCTCAAGACAAAATTCAACCCAACATTACTTTTGGAAAGTGCCATATATCATCCTCGGGAGCGCATTATTTGAGGCAGGAACATTGAATGTAAATTTAAAGCAAACCCAAAACAAGACGAAGAAAGTAATAGTACCACTTCATGAGGTCCGTCTAACGCGTAAAGTGAAGTTCCCGCAATAAGGATGAAGACGACAGTGAGAGAAACAGAAAATCGATGAACGGCAACATGGTTACAAAGGTCCCCGACTTGCTGGAACACCGCTATGGTAAAATACTTCAAAAATGCTGCTGGGCGTTTAGTCAACGTTAAATTCTCCAGCTCCAACAAATGATCTTTCCGCAGCTCTGATGATTCCAAAAAAAAACCACAAGCTTTCACAAACTGTGCCCAGATAAGCTGAAATCGAAAGTAATTTGTCCTGATCATAAATTACCACGAAAAAACAAACCATGTCCTCAATACGACCAACAGATCTAGTACACTCTCTAATTACTGAACTACCCAGTTCTTCGGGATCTTGCGCTTAAATCCTTGTACACAAATTGCTCAATTCCTCGAAATACCTACGGCACCAGAAAGAAAAAAGACTTTACTTATGATCCGAGGGTCCAACCCCGACTGCTCTTGTTCGGAGATGGTGGGTTCGTCGTTGGTATCCATCCTTATCAACCTTTCGTGCTGGTGCTCTCACAGATGCCCACACGAGCAGAACAGAAATGCTCCAGATCACTCACGCATTGCTCTTTGTCGAAGGCAATTCGACCAGTTGATACGTGAACCACAAACTTTCAAATCCACGGGGAGCGAAAGCAGGGAAGTCTTAGAGGTAACGACGACGTCGGACTAAACCAGTGCCAATTAAACTAAAACATATGACACTACAGCATAATACAGAGCATCGGGTGTTGGGCGGTGACGGTAGGCACCAAGTGACAGAAAACGAGGACAATCAAGGATGAATACATATTATGACAACTAGTCAACCGGATCTAGCGAGGAACAACGGACCGGTAAAATCATGGTTGCACCCAGTAAGAGAGACTCCAGATGGAAACAAGTTAGGGTTCTCAACTTTCTCCAGAAAAAGAGATAGAGAGAGGGAGAGAGAGCGCAACAGGGTCAGCCCTGCCTGGAGACACGCATCACAGCGAGAACCAGAGCTTGCCCTCCCTTTCTTCCTTTCTGCCGTCCCTCTCTCTCCACTCCACCCACCAACTCTCTCTCTCCTCTGCTTTTCTCTCTTTGAAACAAGCAACCAGAGCACCAGCGAGAGCAGCAGAGCAATCAAGTGGTACAACACAAGGAAAGGACTACAAACGACAACAGAACGAGGTATTTATTACATCTCCCTCACGCAACGCACTCCATTTGTTTGGGCGGAGCAGTAGTGTACACAAACTACTGGACCCTGGAGTCTGGACCTGCTTCTTTCTCCTTTCTTTACTTAGCATGCCCGCACCAGGCGATTTGCCGCTTTTACGCCGACTTGCGATGCCGGCCATGCCGTAAGCCGAATGTCAACGAAGTCGCAATTTGCGTCCGTCATGATCGCCTTTGGCCAAGATAGAACGTCGAGACCGGACGCATAAGCAGTTGTGTTGGGTCGTGAGAGGGCCGTAGTTGTTGTTCAGTCATAACTACTCTACCTCGGTTCCGTGATTTTCCAGATGCCCCCTGCTGAAAGTCTTTTTTTATTCGTCTCTGAAGACCCGCCACGTCATCGACATGATCGGAATGCCAAGCTTTGTCGGTCGACGGACTCTGATACCAGATCCAGACAAAGTATGGTCCAACTTCGGCTCTTACCGGCGACCGCAGGTTTGCCACGAATTCCCAAATCACTCTCTTGTAAAAGACCCTCGACGGGATTCAGCTTGAAGGAAAAGGGCCATCTGGATAGCACTCGTAACATCCTGTAAAGCATATGAAGTAGGTGTTTAATATGCACTGGAGAAAGTCAAGTGAAGATGAACGAATGAAATCGCCAAAAGTGAACAAAGCTTATGCTAGAGAATGCTGATTTGAAAGTCAATGCTACAATGAGGAAAGGGATTAATTCGTTGTCTCGAGAAATAGGCCGCGTTGTTACCTTGATCTAGTGTTCTAATCATGCACAGACTATACAGTGTCAAGGAAACTCGTTAACATGCTCTTCCTACCAGAGTAACATTCATTATCTATCACTATAGTCACGTCATGAAATCTGCCTTGCATAACTAATATAAATGCTTTTTATAAATGCTTACAATGTGCGAATTATGGATAGGTTGTCTGCAGGCATGCTTATATTAGGCAGTCGCCTAAATTTTTTTAATTAACTTGATTTAGTCGCATCAGGGTTTGTTGGTTTAGGCGGGGCCAAATCACAACATCAAATAGTCATCACAATTTGCGGTTTCTCTTCAACATATTCACACAAAACACACAATCTGTTTTCGGTCAGTTGGTATTGCAAAAAGATTTAATTAAACTGCGCACTTCCAACGATTGTGAAAAGAGAAGTGAGGGAGAGGAAAAGTGAGATTGGGGTAAAAGCCAGCGGCAGAAGGAGTTTTTTCCTGGAATTGATGATCCAGACTTGCTGGTGAATGCTTTGTCAAAGATATATAATCAACTTTTGATTATTGAACTTGAGAAATAGCACCCAAGAATCACCCAATCAACTGAGGAGAAACTTCTCGCACGTACAGTTACTTTTTTTAGTTTGTGGTCTATGTATTGTTCATGTATTACATTAAATTGCAATTGTTCCATGTTTCATTCAACTCGTTATCTTTGTTTCTACCACAGTGCTTGAAGGCGAATCAAACTGCAAATAATATGTGAAGCCTTCGAAAAGTTGCAATTTGTCAACCTGATTGCAAATCTCTTTGTAGCCACTTACATATTCCAAAAACCAATAGATTGAATATCCTGTACATATTGAACTTATGAACACCAAAGAGCAGTGCTCAACGAGATAGAAAGCTAGTAATTTAACTGGAGTAGGTAAACATTATAACCATCTCTATGAAAATCCAAATTTTATAAATTCAATTCAATAAAAAATGTTGACTAATCCTCCTAGTCATTTTCATTACATGTCAAAGGAGAATTTGCCACAAAGCTTTCTTCTTGAATGGTCCTTATAACTTTCATTCTAAATGTCACTTTCAGAAATTTTCAACATTTCTTATACACTTGTATTACGTTGAAACTTAAAATCTGAGATATTTTTTAAAACATATTTGAATTGTTTATATATGAAAATTTTAAATAAAAGTTGATATTTTGAAATTTTCCATATCACAAAAAATATCAAAATATCATTGTCCCCCTCTTATTGTCAAAAATAAATCTATATTAAATGTTATATTGTGATGCATGATAATTTCATATATTATTTATTAATAACTTAAAACATAAATAATACATAATCTCTTACATCATAGAAGATTGTATATTAATAAAATAATAAATTTTTGAATTTTTTATTAAATTTTTATTAAAGAATAAATGATTTTATGTAGATTATATCATATTTTTCAGTCAAAATTAAATTTTTCCAATCATATACACATATTTCATAATTACAAGATGCTTTATTTTTTTTATATTCATATTTTCTGATTGAGTTGATTGAAGTGTTATCAATTTTATGTTTTCAATTAATATGTATAATATTTAATGATTGAATCGTTTTATATGATAATTTTTATTTTCATCTTATTTAAACTTTATTTAAATTTATTTTTAATTTCACACACTTGCAATAAAATACAACGTTTAAAAATCACAAAAACATAATGATTAAACATAAGCGTGGCAATATGTTTGAAAAACTTCACATGCAAACACACATTTGGTTTCAAAAAAAAGAAAATATGTAGTTTAATAATTTTATGGGTGGCCTTGATGAAATTTACTATTCAATAAGCACATTTGAAAGTTTTGCATTCAACAGATTATGCAATCCTAAAGTTTAATATAATTTCAAAAAATTTGCAAAATGAAAAAATGACGCAGTATTTTACAAACGTAATAGATCAAGAAATTATTTATATATTTTATTTATGAACATAATAATTACTTTTGAACATTTTCAATTGATTTTGTGGTTTGACACTTAGGCATTAATCACTTCGAAGTTAGTTAAAGCATACCTATTTTCCCATTTGGTTGTTTACTTGTTGGCGTATTAATTAGGTTAGTGGCTAATTTTTTATAAAATGTTGATAAATTTTTTGTTAAAAATAAACTTAAAGTCACAAACAACTCATTACAAACATGTGCATGTACATGCATAATGTGAGCCAGCTGTTTTTAAGATAGGAAAATAATATTAGATTTCTTAGTTTTTGTTTGCAAAGAGTAGCTACTAGATAGACATATATTAGGATTGGAATCTCTGAAAGTGGTGTTTGTCAACGGAAACCAACTAAGTGAACACTATCAACGGTGCACTTTGGAGTAAAAAAGTGAAGAAATCTCCCGGTTGGAGGATTAGTTTCCAGAATAATGTTTTTGGAAAGTGTATCACTCAGACAAGGAGGAAATACTTTGACGTAAATATATATGTGATGGGATTATTGGCATTGTTGGATGTTTTAGTCAATCAAGTTACTTGTAAACTACTCGCGAATTTGGACATATCTTATGAAAAAAATGAAATGATACAGTAAATAATAGATAAAATTGGATCTTGATGAATTATAAAATTGCATATAGAAAAATTTAGCAATTGCAAGATCACAATGAAACTATTATGATACATTGAAAAAATATTTTTTTATAATGAAGTAAAATTTTAAGCAAAAAATGAACAACATTAGAGTGATTTGCTCATTGTCATTAGAACATTTCTAAAGATCAAATAATAAACAAATTTGTAGTCAAATAATAAAAAATCATTTAAGACGATTGCAAATGAATATTAAATTTTTTTATTGCAATTCATTGCAAATATTGAAGCAAAATTTTAAATTAAGTTCAAAGTAATACCAAATGTTTATTGCAAAGTAAGTGCATAATTCGTTCATTATCATTCTAGTGCTTATGAAACAAACCACTTCTTTGTATTTTATCATCAACATTATGTGCAAAAAAATTAGGATTGCAATTTTTTAAATTACTTATTTGTATAGAGAAATTGGAAAAATATTATTAGATTTATTTTTTTGCTAATGAAAATTTTGCATAGAATTTAAAAAGAATATCAATGTTGAAAATTTTTAAGTTGATAAATTTTCATTATCTTGTCTACATAGTTTATTTTCAAAAATTTGATATAATAAATGTTTTGATAATTAAAAATTTTAATATTTAAACAAATATTTCATTATTATGTAAAATAAAATAAATTAAAAATTCAATTTTTTATCATTAGATTAATCTGTATATAATTAAAATATAAACATATTATGTTAAAATTTGACATTAATTTACTACCATGAATGTTTCAATGATGAAGAATGTTTTTTCAAATTGAACAATAAAAAAATTAATTTTGATTCATTTTGTGTATAATTTTTTTCTAGATAGCTTTAAATAAGTTTATGGTTCTTTAGAATCATAAGAATTCTTTTCATTAGCACCTGTTATTCAATTACAAAATTTAATTTCAAAATATTACAATTAGATTCATTAATGTACAAATCTTATCATGAGTGTTTTTATATACAAAGCTAAACATAACTTATAATATTTTATTTTGTTTCTTCTTATAAAAAATAAAGCAATTTTTTTTATAATTGATTTTTATGTCATAATCAAACATAGAAAACTTTATTGCAAAAAAAATTCCTGACAAGCATAAGCAATGGTAGGATAAAACATAATGTATTTTTGTACAGTAATATACAATACTGGATTTTACTTGAAAAGAAAATGGTTAACTATCGGATCTTATGTTAATCACAAGACAACATAATCCTTCAAAAATTTATGTGTTTTGGTTGTTTTATTTATCACATAATGTATTTAGATACTCAATGTTAGTACTAACTCAATTCTGAAATTAAGTCTAGTTAGTTCAATTCTAGTTAGAGGAGGTTTAAATCTAATCCTAGTTAGGATTAGGTTTAGGATCTCTTCCTACCACTACAGTATATAAAGGAGGGCAAGCAATAGCTCGCGTTGATTCATTGTAGATTTCAGTAAATTCTTCTTGTTCCCGTGAAAATAATCCGATGATGGCGAATCAGGTATATGCCGACTCGCCTTCGTGTGTGCATGTGCCGTGTGTCACTATGTTTGTGAATTTTTTATTTTTTATTTTACACTCATCACAAACAAATTTAAACCAAAAAGTGTACATAAAATTATAATTTATGAGTAATGTATTTCATTTTAAAATACATGTGAAATTGAAAGACTTGACTTTGCGCCAAATATTAGAATATTACAAAACTAGACCTCATAATATACAAGGTATAATTTTGAACATAATTTTGAATTCTATAATATGTAAATGGAAATTATTATCCTAGATCAAGGAACTATTTTATATCATGAGTGACATAAAGAAGAATGTATGGGGTTTAGGGTAAGAAAGTATGCAGGTTTATGACTGAGAATAGAATGAGCTTCTATTTTCAGATTTTAAGACATTAAGAATACTATAGTGTGTTAATGTAAGATAAAGTTACTTTTTCATGCAACCTTAAAAAAATCAGATTATGATTTGTATACTTCTAAATAATGAACAATAATTGTATATTCAAACATAGATATTTATGACATCGGAAAGATATTAGGTACCGACAGGTTATAGTAATTTACTTTCAAATGTATTAAAGAAAAGAGTTTCGTTATGAAATGTTGTGCAACGCAGTTATCATGACATTGTACAAACAATGTAAAGAGACGAGAGGAACACAGTTGCAGTATTAAAATTACTGTATCATAGCATAATCAGGCATGATTGCTATTTATGGCTGTTAAAAAATGCATAGTGTGTTGGACACATATGATTTACTCTTACGCGATTCTCTTTTCTGCTTTTCACTACTGAATAAAAGCCCTGACATCACTCCGTTCCCAGCCTCCATCGTCTCATTTTGGACTTGCATGGAACCGCGGTAATGCTCATATTGTATACAAGCATAACCGCGGTTCCATACATAAGATATAAAGCGCAAAAATATACAAGCATATACGTATACGATGCTTACATATATGCGCTTGGGGCAATGACGCAGTTAGTTAAGTGAAACCGCGACGCGTCAATTGCTGGTTGAAAACTATTTCCAAACTATTTTTTATACCCAAACGGCCTAGAGTACATTACTAACAATATGGGAGGGTACCAAACGGGCGGCCACTTTCCCGTTCAAACGAGCTCATTATTTAAACTTTACTGTTCATACTGCCGTAAGCGAGCCAGAGGACATCGACAACTTTAGGAAGAGTTTGACCATGCTACCTTTCGCTCCGGCGGGGGGTACTGTATTCTGGGGAATGCGTTGCACTTTGGTTAAAGTATTACCCCATAGAGCAGCATACCCATCGCGTTAGGGGAAAACCAATGCCCATGCCATACGGTCTTTTTCAAGAAGGACCGACACGTGTCGATGTCGCGCAAACTCAACGACACGTTTGAATTCAACTTACGCTGCGGTTCAACTGGAGTCGCATTGCGGTGCGGAGAAAATCGGACCGGATAGGTGGGGGTGGATGAAGTGTTGACGATACCGCTCGTCGCACCGCCTTCTTGGAATGGGGATCTCCCCTTACGCTTCTCCCTTTTTTGCATTTTACCATCCGTGCCCGAATTCCGACTCTTTTTCCTCGTGCATGAGGATTCTGCGCAAGAAATTTCGACAGTGGGTATCTGAAAAGGCATGCACAGCTGAAAGGGTTTGGAAGAGCTTTAGTAGGTGTTCCTCCCTTTCCACCGATACCTTTAGCCTCGTACTTAAATTGGCACGAATAAATGATTTGTCGTGCCATCAGTTTGCTTAAATCAATATAGCTCTGGTACCACCGCAGTCATCAGAACGATGATGAACGATGGCGACTCGTGTGTGACATGACATCCAAAGATTTGAACGTGTCAAAGAGAACAGTTTTAAAGGCAGTAAAGGCATCCGCATGAGTTCCAGCATCAGCAGTCCAGCACCCTTTGTACTTGCAACTACGGCTGCTCTTCGTCACACTTCATTTGTGGCACTGCTCACGATTTATTCAGAGAAAGCCCCTCACTCTTCACCCGCAATTTGGTTGTGGACGTGCTGCAGTCGAGAAATGTCGTTCGCAACGCGCTGTCGTGAAAATGGGCAATACACAGTACAGTACATTGCTGCCGTCTCCTCTACTCACTTACAAGGGTTCGGACATTTGAAGGACTCAGTGATCGCTTCATTACGTGAGACGATCGACGAGTGCTTTGACATGGTTCGACAACTTGCTGTCGCTCTTCTTTACATCGCCCTCGACAAAAGTCAGAAAATGGAAGCGGCGGAGACGACGCGCATGAAGAAGAGTCATCAACGCTCGCGGTTCAGCAAACTAAAGGACGACTCGGCTTGCTTCGAGTCGTCCTTCATCAAACGCGAATAGAATGACCTCTGGAGTCTCCGGCGCCTACAGAAGTTGGTTTCTTCTACGACTTATTCCCGGAATAAATTCTTACTGCGTCGGAGTAGAAGCTGGCTTTGATCCCGGAGCGACGCATTGGACACCGACAAATGTATTCCTCAGAGGCTTTGGTCACTGCTATTGCCTCTTCACTCACTTGGAGAGTGTACACAACAAGGATTGTCTGCACGTCATTACCTTTCGATTCATTTTGTTGCCTACGCTACTGATGGTGTGTGCTTGGTGAGATGACTCGAAGACCTCATCCTGTCACGTAACGCCACTCGTCATTGAGGTCATTTCATTCAGCGAGATAATAGTTCTCAGTAGATTACGAGACAGGCGGACTTCGGACTATACTCAAAATTTGTACATAACTTACTGGCGCCTTGTATTTTGCCCGCTGTTCACTGTGATCAGCGTTCAGTTGAAGCTACATATCTGGGTTTCTAAGACTCTTGGGTGTGGGAACCACATTGTTTGAAAGTCATGAAGGGGAGTTGCTCTGGTCGTTGTAGAAAAGCTCGAATACGAAGTTCGTAATATCTGCAGTATTTCCTGCTTTGGGCGAATATGTCGATGACTTTTAGAGCGGAACTAGAATGTTATGCACTTTGTACTCTTCAGTTTGTGGCATTTCTCTAATTTCTAAAAGCTGATGCTGGCAGTAATATCATATTCTCATGGATATTATGAAGCGGAATGAACGCTGTCTTCAGATCAACTGGCGAATGCGTCGGATCTCTCATATCTTTCCGTGGGCAATTGTATTCAGTTCCCTAAAATCCTACTTAATAAATCGACGAAATTGCCATCCATCCATTGTTGATGGATAAACAACACTTCTTGTCCGTTGATCACTACCTTTTGCAAACCTTGGGAGAACTATTAGATGAGCATTAGGTGATGATTCTTCTCATGCGGCATGCATAACCTAGATGGTTCACACATCTCAACGTAGAGTGCATAGTTCTCAGTGTGATGCTATTAAGCTCGCATCCTCTGGCTTCATGCAAGTACGGATTGATGGTTGTTCCAATCGTTTTTGCTATATATTTCTTACTTCCTGCGTTAGTGACAGCGGAGCTTCACAGATGAGCACGTAAACGCAACAGTAGCTGAATCCGATGAACAAACAGCGACCAACTGGGAATCACTTGTACCAGTACATCGGAGGAATCGCTTCACTGGAGCAACAGCTTCTTTCTTGCTTCGTGACAGCTGGTGGAGTGGATCAAAGTTGTCTTCAAATTATACAAGATTATAGAGACGCCTGAAGCTTTTCGGCCTTCGGGTCTTCTTGGTTTCGGTCTACCCTTAGACGCCTCCCCGATTTGCTCGACAGCTTACAGAATCAAGAATTTGCGAAGACTTGGTTGTAAACAGTCACTGAGTTTATCGTAGAACTCGTTGGGAAGGAGTTCCACCAAGTATTTAATTCTACGCAGATTGTTATTTGTATGTGCAGCTCTGAAGACTAGATCTTCTTGATGCCCATCATGATCGTCATTAAAGCAGAAGTCCACGACCACCGACCACTGACACACGATAAATAGCTCGTATCCATGAAGGCCTTCATTTCACAGTAGAAGCACTCTTGTCCTTTCGCTCCGTCCGCCGTGACACTTCGAAGTCAGGACAAAGGGAGAGGGACGTGAACTCGTCCGGAATATCACAATACATATTCCCTCGGTAGTCCATCTAGAAGCGGACGAGCATTCCCACGGATTAATCGACAACTGTTCTCGGATCTCCTCGCATCTCCCCGCTTCTCTGAGAAACGACTTTATTTTCCACACAGAAGCCATGCACCGCGTATACTTTGGGAGCCTGTATCGACCAATTTCTCTTCGGTTTTCTCAAGCAAGCCTCGTTACGTGAAAAAGCCTCAATCCCTTTTGCAAGAGCACCAGAATGCGGACCTTCTTTTGCCATATAGCGCCGCAATTGGCGGGTTGAGGCCACGAGCATGTCGCACAAGTAGGTGTTGACGAATAAAGGACAAGCCTGCGCAGTATACCGGTATATGCAGCCATGTAGCAAAGATGAGCGTCGAAGGCGTGGCATGAGGATTGCAAGGGTCAAATGTTTGACCCTTGTGGAACGATGGAATGTTTTGTGTCGTGGAACTGCTGGTACAACTGGCCCAAGTCGCCCTCGTGTGGTCTCCCCGAGACTCCGGAGCAGCTCGGACATGGTGGAGAGATGCCGCTAAGACAATTGAGAAGTCCGAAGTTCCGGCGCGTGACCTGCGCGCCTCACCTCCCTTCTCTAGAGCGGGTGATGCGCTGTAGAATGTGACCCGACTCGTTTCACAGGCATCTGGGAGTCTTCTCACTAACCCTCCTCCAAGTGCCAGTCCCGAAACCATCCGCGTCGATTGGATGATGACCATCGCTCTGCGTTCAGTGACTTTCACGATGAAATTCACAGCTGATCTCAGGACATTCTCGATCTTAGGACAATCGAACTACTATTCCTTCACAGAGCTGAATTTGATCATTGCGAGATTGATTGATTGACTCAGACTCTCATTGATTATTACGCAGGGGAGCACAGTCTCGAGGAGAAATTCAATCTGCTATAGCATATATCATAAAAGTCCACAAGGGCTCGAATGTTTACATTAAGCAAAGCAGCTTCACGGCTACGTTAAAATATTTCCGTCCGGTCATGAACTCCGTCAACCTTACCAGAACCGATGTAAATGCGAAGATCCCAATCAAACCGGAAGTGGATGAAACAAAACTGGCAACACGGGTCTAGTCCCAACAGCATCACAATACCAGATATATACAGGACTGCCCAAAATACTAACAAGACATTATCTTAGTCAACAGCTCTCATGATTTCTCCTCGTTTAGGTCTTCAATGTGTTCTCTGCATAATATAGTCCATCTCGCTGGATGGATAACCAATTAGTTTCTTGTTTCTCTTTTGCCTTGGATCTTCTCATAGTTTTTGCTATCAATTTGTTCCACATATAATCTCAAGATTTCTCCCTCTTATGGAAATTATTAGCTAGTGTCTCCATCTAATATGTTAGTTTTTTTCCACTCTCTCACTACATACTGAAGGTGGTGCTTATAAATCAATGTTACTCTATAGTGATTATAGTAATAACGAGCAAAACTCTCGGTATAGCTCCATGAATCAAGACCTTGATTCATGTGGATTACTTTTTAAACTTTTTGTAGCATAGCTAATCATTTCCTCTCAGATTGTGTGATTATCGTGTCTATATGTGACAACTATGCAATATTGATGCATCCAAATAAATTATAGGTACGTCTTACCATATTCTATTGTAAGGTATATCCACGATTTCGTCATCCTTCCTTGTGTGGTATTCATCTTCACATTGTGTGTCAAAATCTACATAAATACTGTCATCATAGATTATTATGCTCTACATATCTAATTGATTTAGGTTTATGTTCACATATTACATCTAGAATATTATCGTACATACACATGAAGATGTAAATGGTTTGATTAAGTTTAATGTCTAATAAAGAAAAATTTTGATAAGAGGGGGATGTCATGATATATAGTCAAACATGCATCTTTGCAGTAATGAAAGATTAAACAGATACTCCTAATATAAGAAGGTTTTAGATTATCTACAAATGAATGTAATTTCTGTTTAAGTTGTATTTTATTGTTTTGTCTAGTATTGCTTTTATTCATCACATTGAAAGATCGGTGATACCATGAAGTATCTTCAAGTATTTTGATTTGATAAAAAAATCTATTCCACTAGCATAACTGTGACAATTCACAATTGATTGAAAACGATGCTCATTAGGAGAATGACATCGTTGTACTCGAATCTCACTTATGCATGTTTGCTGTTATCAATAAAAAAAATCAACTTATGATTATCATCAGTTGTTAGACTGCCATCTTCACTATGTATTTTTTGTTCAACAAAAATTCTAAATGAAGTGTTTTTTTAGAGAAAAAAATTTCATGATGTCTCTACTTAGAAGCTAGTTGACGATCAATTAGATTTGAAATAAAAAAACTTGTGAATTTGTTCATAATGTTTTTTAAAGATATGATAAGTGTTAAGACCTTGATGATTTTGAATAGTTATTCCGTACGACGAGAAGTAAATTAGTTAACAAGTTATGTGGGGACATAGTTAGAAACTTTTTACGATTTTTTAGTGATCTTTAATAAAATATTTCATTGAGAAAAATTATAATGGGACATTATAGAAATCAATAAAATAAAGTATTAACTCAATAACTTAATATAAGATCGTTAGCTATAAAATATTAAAGAGTTAAAATTAATCTACACGTTCTAAATAATTTAAAACAGTGTGACTCATTATAATTAAATATTTTGATGTGTTCAAAAATATACGTAGTTTTCTTAAGAAGTGAAAATTAGAAAAGTATTGTCAATCGATCTCACGGTGTTTGATTTATAATAATATAGATGATATGTTGATTTATATGTAGATATATATAGACTGTCATCATCTTAACAACACAACCTTGTTGTTTGATAACAAAGTTTACCAAAATTAAAAACATAAACACTTTTCTGAATTTGAAACTACTGTTTAAATACAGTAGGTATTTACATATGATCTTATCATGCTAGGAAAAGTTTAATAATTAATATGTGTAGTCATATAATTCGATGTTATAAAAATCTCATTTAAAAACAAGATTAAATATTCATCTAATGCATATTTTTCTTATAGATCCATATATCAATGTACAATGTAACTCATTAAAATATACATATTAAATGATTTAGAATAGAAAAAATAATCTTTTTCACCTAAAGAAGTATAACAGTAACGTCGTAATAAATGATCTCCTGTCCACATCGACTAATACATGGAATTATGGCCCAACAAGATGAAATCCATCAGTATGAAAATTTATTAACTTTGCTGCAACTCCTGATCTCGTCCCAGTAGTCATCATTCAAATTGTCGGAAAGGCATCTTAACTCCACCGACAGCAGTCAGTCAGAACTGCGAATTGTTAGAGACTCTAAATTGTGCCGTACCGGTAGTCAGCTTTTAAGAATTACTGATCGTTGGTCTTTCATAACTCCGACGAACCTAAGCTCCCGGGGACGGCCCTCATGAATGCGGAATCTTCCTACCAACATATTTGTACAGGGTCCGTTCAGTTGCTCGGAAATCAATCTGTTTACAACGCGACGCTAAACTGCGTTGGCTTTTTGAGCACCGTAAACCTCTTATTTTGTGTTGATGAGTGGAGACGTGGTAAGAGCTTCCACTTCTGTCTTACCATGAAGAGATAATAAAATTAGAAACTTTGGCGTGAACTCCATACTAAGGGCGTTACCACACTACCGGAAGCCGGCACCAAGCTACTGGCTATAAGAAAACCAGGTTTTCGTAGGCCTGCTGGAGAGAATTCCATAACCTCTACTACACTACCGGTAGTGCCTTTGGAGTGAAAAGTGAAAAATAACCTCTACTAATTGCAACGCAACGGTGAGAAGTCTTTGTAAGAGTAAACCAGAAAGGCGCGAAAGTACACGTGGAGTGGAGTCGGTATATTCCGGAAAAACCGGATTTCCAGCGGAAGTGCTTGGTATTTTGGAGAAGTTTATTTCTTTGCCACCTAGGATATATCAAATTGCCGCTCGCTCTCGTGTGGTAAAGAGGGAACCTCGGGTGCCAACAACAAGCGAGAATTAGCTGCTGGTCGTGTGGTTTGGCCCTAAACCGTAACTAAACTTTCTTTTGTACATCGCATATCTTCAACACAGGTCAAGTAGTAAGGCGAGTGGAGTTCACAATTCCATTTTCAATACACCTCGTATGAGACTTCTTTCAGCATT